CCCCAAAACCCCAAAACCCCAAAACCCCAAAACCCCAAAACCCCATAAATTTTAGCAAATCCTGAAATAAATTAATAATGTCTGCCCATCAACTCGGAGAAGTAAGATATAAATGCCTAATACTAAATAGTTTGTGCTCGTAATTGGAGACCTGAATATCCCTCACAGAGAGATTGAGATTCCAGATAAGTTCAAGGACCTTTTGTTGCCAAACAAAATGCAGTATGTGCTCTGCCCAGGAAACTTCGGATCTAAAGAAACAATGGAATGGTTGCAATCACTTGGCTCTGCCAAGTCTAACTCTCACTTTGTTAAGGGAGATTTTGATGAGGTAAGTCATGACCACATTGCTGCCTTCTTCCTTTCGTTTTTGGCATGAAATATCGAAATATTGGGATTCTGAGGAAAATTGTCTTACAGCTGTTATCCAGAAATTATTAACAGGAAATATTTCCTATTAGGCAGAAATTTATAAGCAATTTATAGAAGCTAAGCTCACCATGTATTTAGGTCACAACACTTCCAGAGACAAAGACTGTCCAGATTGGTAACTTCAAGATTGGCTTAATTCATGGCCATCAGGTTGTTCCATGGGGAGACCTTGAGTCTTTATCCTCTGTACAAAGAGAGCTGGACTGTGATATTTTGGTCAGTGGGCAAACTCATAAGAACCAGATATCGACATACGATGGAAAATACTTCATCAACCCAGGATCAGCTACAGGATGCTATTCTGCTCTAAATTCTAGCAGCACTGCTAGTTTCATCCTGATGGCTGTCCAGGGCGACAACGTTACTGCCTTTATCTACGAGACTAAAGGAGAGGACTTCAATGTGTCCAGAATTGACTTCACTAAGAACGGAGAGAGCCACAAGGTCGAAGCTGAGGTAAAACCTTCTGAAGAAACAAAGGACGATGATGATGATGAATAATATGAATAAAAGTTCTATTAATCCCTTCTGACTTGGGGTTTTGGGGTTTTGGGGTTTTGGGGTTTTGGGGTTTTGGGG